GTTTGATTGGTCCAGAGGTGTGCATAAATGCCGATTTCTTATATATCCGCGGACAATGCCGTTGACGTATAGAGATTCCGCAATTATGAAACTGTTAATAAAGCCATAATTGGATTGTCCGCAGTAATTATTTGCTGGCTTTCATTAATGTATTATTGCTTCCTGACTGACAAGGTAATATTAAGTGCAATATATATAATACCGTGTCTGGGGGATGCAGGCGGGTGAGAAGGCGCACCTCCTTTTATTATGTTTCCAGGCTGGGCCCTTTTGTTCATTTCTTTCAAAGCAGAGGAGATGTTTTGGGGCAACTGAAATATATTTTCTGCATTGGCATATCTTTGTCCCTGACAGTTCGAAGAGATATCTAGGTATATCCCGAGGCGGCCCTAGGTAATTTTCAACAGTAAACAAACAGTATTTTGGCGCCCCCCCCCCCAACCAATCATTGATATATATTTTCTGTTCGTTCGTGGGAGTTCTGTGTGCCATATTTGGTTCAATTCCATCATTGGTGGAGTTCAGAATGCTCTTTGATTGTAGGTGAACTATACATCCCAGTAACTACACTTGCTGCACTTGCTCCCTTGCCTGGCCCGCTTTGGGTCCGGAGGCGTGTCTGAAGTCACCTCTTCTCCTGACTTTCTCCTCAGCCATAGGGACCAAGAGAGAGAGAGAGACAGAGGTGGAGATGCCCACCTTTCCTGAAGGTAGGCACAGAAACAAAGGAGGGAGATACCTCCAGCCGGAGGGACTCTCTCTCTCTCTCTCTCTCTTGGTCCCAATGGCTGAAGAGAAAGTCAGGAGAAGAGGTGACTTTTGGTGTGCACGCTGGGGTCTCCAGACACGCCTCCGGATTGGGAAAGGGAGCTGGTCATGGGGAAGGGATCGAACACGGAGAACGATTGAGCGCCAGCTCTGCTCGCGCACCCGGTGACCGGGTGGAGCAGGAACAAGAGGGGCAAGGCAAGGCTCAAGGGCCCGGCCCCTTTGGGGAGAGGATCGCCCGGCAGCGAGGCAAGAAAGCCGAGGATCCCCCTGGACTGCTACGGTTGTTGTGAGCTGAGGGGGCGCTCCTCAAGTGGCAGTCGAGGGGCATTTACAGAGGCGCCTCTGCGCCCCTGGCAAAAAAAGTGTTCTGCGACCGCTTACTTCGCGTATTGGACGAGCCGCCCCTGGGTATATCCATTTAACAGCTGAGAAGCCTAATTGACTTGCATGAATGCTAGTGCGGGTGGTTCTCAACCTTCCTATGCCACGACCCCTTAATACAGTGTTTCTCAACCTGGGAGTCGGGACCTCTGGGGGGGGGGCGAGAGGGTGTCCGAGGGGTCGCCAAAGACCATCAGAAAACACAGTATTTTCTCTTGGTCATCTGGGTTACGTGTGGAAAGTTAGGTCCAATTCTATTGTTGGTGGGGTTCAGAATGCTCTTTGATTGTAGGTGAACTATAAATCCCAGCAACTACAACTCCCAAATGCTAAGGTCTATTTCCCCCAAACTCCACTAGTGTTCACATTTGGGCATATTGAGTATTTGTGCCAAATTTGGTCCTGATCCATCATTGTTTGAGTCCACAGTGCTGTCTGGATGTAGGTGAACTACAACTCCAAAACTCAAGGTCAATGCCTACCAAACCCTTCCAGTATTTTCTGTTGATCAGGGGAGTCCTGTGTGCCAAGTTTGGTTCAATTCCATCGTTGGTGGGGTTCAGAATATTCTTTGATTGTAGGTGAACTATAAATCCCAGAAACTACAACTTCCAAATGACAGAATCATAATTTTTGAGTGATGGTCACTCCTTGTGTTGTGAGAAGTTTTGTTGTCAAATTTGGTGTGATTTCGTTCATTGATTCTTTTGTTTTTAGGGTACACATTATGCACAGAGCATTTATATATACATAGATTGCCCAAATGTGAACACTGGTGGAGTTTGCGGAGAATGGACCTTGACATTTGGGAGTTGTAGTTGCTAGGATTTATAGTTCATCTACAATCAAAGAGTTTTCTGAGCTCTAGCAATGATCGATTTGGGCCAAACTTCCCACACAGAACCCTCCTGCCTTGAAGGGACTCGTTTGTGAAAGCCTCCCTCCAGTCTCGCATGCTCTCCCTCGCCCGCACATGCGCACCATGCTGCCATGTGTCGAGCATGCCTGCTCTCCACTCCCTACTTGGATTCTCAGAAAAGTACCCTTGGTTGAGAGGCTGACCAATCACAGCAGAGGAGGGCTTTTGGTGGGGGGGATTCACCTTCTGTTTCCAAAAAGGAAGATGAGGACAGGCGGAGAGATCATCAGCGTTCTCTGCCAAAGAAGTTCCTAAGACCATCAGAAATCTATGTTTTCCGATTGTCTTTGGCGACCCCTCTGAAACCCCCTCGCAACACCGCTGGGGTCCCGACCCCCAGGTTAAGCAACACTGGGCTATTATGCCGGTGCCCTGTAGGAAAGCCAAAGCCCTGCCGGTGAGAGAGGAATGGCTCCGTAGTTATTTACAACGGTTATTAATTACAGACGTCCAGCTAATGGCTAAGATTGGAAAAGAGTTTCTGTATCCCGTTCCCCAGCGGCTTTGTTTCAGCTGTTCTGGCCGTGACCTTTGGGCGGGTTAATAGGTAGAGCTTGAGAAGCTGGCTTGGCAGCGCTGTGGCCATCTTCAAAGAGAGATGACAAAGCAACATTTCATCCATTATTGATTTATTCTTCACCCTCCTGCCTTTTTCTTTGCAGCCGACCAAGCTTGGCTCGCTCAGGTTCCGACACCCTTCTCCAAAAACAAAGAACAATGGCACAATTTCCCCCTTTCCTTTACCTTTGGCCAACGGTCACTCTTTCTGGAAGGGAAGGGTTTCGTGCAGGTCTGGAATAATGGTTTTCTAATCTCAAGGTTGTTGTGCATTGAATACCTAGAAATACCATGATTGATAGAAGCATGGCTCAATGGGTCTTCCATTTGCCTGTCAACTAATGGTGACTCCATGAATTTCATAGGGTTTTCTAAGGCAAGGTGGATCTCACAGTTACCGCCTCTGAAATAGGACCTACCGTATCTCTATCTAAATATTCATTTACTAGCTGTACCTGCCACACATTGCTGTGGCCAACCTTCCCTCCCTCTTTCTCTCCTTCTTTCTTTCTCTCTCTCCTTCCTTCCCTCCCTCTTTCCATCCCTCTTTTTCTTGCCCTTCTTCTTCCTTCTCTACCTGTTTCTTTTCTCGCTTCCTTTGCTCTTTGGTTTCATCCTTCCTTCCTCCTTCCTTCCTTCCTTCCTTCCTTCCTTCCTTCCTTCTTCCTTCCTTCCTTCCTTTCCCTCCCTCCCTCCCTCCCTCCCTCCCTCCCTCCCTCCTCTTTCCTCCTTTCTTTCCTTCTCTCTTTCCCTCTTTCATTTTTTTATTTCCTTCTCTCCTTTCCTTCTTTTCTTTCTTCCTTTCTTTCCTTCCTTTCTTTCCTTCCTTCCTTCCTTCCTTCCTTCTTTCCTTCCTTCCTTCCTTCCCTCCTTCCCCCTTTCTGTGTATGTGTTTTGTGTGTGCATATATGTGTGTATATATGTGCTGCTGTGACCAACCTTCCCTCCCTCTTTCCCTCCTTCCCTCATTTTCTTTTCCTTCTTCTTTCTTCCTTCTCTACCTGTTTCTTTCTCGCTTCCTTTGCTCTTTGGTTCCATCCTTCCTTGTCTCTTTCCTTCCTTCTTCCCTCCCTCTTTCTCTCTTTAGTTCCTTCTCTCCTTCGTTCCCTTTCACTTTTTTATTTTCTTCTCTCTTTCCTTCCTTCACTACCTTCCTTTCTTTCCTTCTCTCCTTCTTTCCCCCTTTCTCTCCCTCCTTCTCTCCTTCCTTCCTTCCTTCCTTCCTTCCTTCCTTCCTTCCTTCCTTCCTTCCTTCCTTCCTTCCTTCCTTCCTTCCCTCTGGCCATCCCTCCCTCTTTCTCTCTTTCGTTCCTTCTCTCCTTCCTTCCCTTTCACTTTTTTATTACCTTCTCTCTTTCCTCCCTTCGCTATATTTCTTTCTTTCCTTCTCTCCTTCTTTCTCTCTTTCTCCCACTCCTTCTCTCCTTCCTTCCTTCCTTCCTTCCTTCCTTCCTTCCTTCCTTCCTTCCTTCCTTCTTCCTTCCTTCTTTTCTCTTTCTCCTTCTCTCCCTTCCTTCTTTCCTTTTTTATTTCTTCTCTCCTTCCTTTTCCTTTTCCTTCCTTCCTTTCCTCCCTCCTTCCTCCTTCCTTCTCTCCTTTCCCTCTTTCTCTCCCTCCTCTCCTCTCCTCTCCTCCCTCCCTCCCCCTTTTTGTATATGTGTTTTGTGTGTGCATATATGTGTGTATATATTTCTGTATATATTTGTGTATATGTGTATATATGTGTGTTTGTGTACATATGTGGCTTTGTGCGTGTGTTGTAATGTTTTTTGCTTTTTATGTCTCTTCTGCTGTATTTTCCAGTGTTTTTATGAGTGATGGTCACTCGTTGGCCTGAGAGGTGTCTTGTGTCCAAATTTCGTGTCAATTCGCCCAGTAGTTTTTGAGTTATGTTAATCCTACAAACGAGCATTACATTTTTATTTATATAGATTGCCATTATGGTCTTAGCCTGGTTTCAAGATGGCTATAACTCTTGCTTTCCTCCAGATTTTAGGGATCTGACAGGATGCAGTGCAGTTGCTCATCAGCTTCAGCAGCCTTGCTTTTGGGTTAAATTTGTAGATCGTCCAGACCAGAGGCTTTGCCATTTTTACGTTTATCGAGAGCCGTTTCCAATTCAGTAAAAGGTTCATAAAAGTTGTTCTCATTATCTGGTTGTCTGGCTCTTGGCGTCCTTCCTAGTTAGGTGGCAAGGTTGGGTTTATGGGATCTGTTGACTTTGATATTATTGAACTCATCTTTCAAAAGTGGCACAGTTATAATAGATTGGGGATTTTGGCATCTTGAAATGTTTGGGCTGGTTGCCATTTAACCCTGATTTGCCGTTTTGATCTTACGAATGGCTTTTCTTTCTCCGCTTCTTCGGCAGGTATCTAACTGGTTTGGCAACAAGAGAATCAGGTACAAGAAGAACATAGGGAAATTTCAGGAAGAAGCCAACCTCTACGCAGCAAAAACAGCGGTGACGGCCGCACACGCTGTAGCAGCAGCTGTCCAAAACAACCAGACAAACTCCCCCACTACGCCAAACTCTGGTAGGTAGCATCCACTTCCCAGTGGCATGACCTGGTTGGTGCCTTCAAAATCAAAGATGGACGGGAATGGAGCAGGGTTGCTCAAAGGAGCAATGCATTCTCATTGGGGTGAAGAACAGAGGTTCCTCGGTGTCTTGGCTTATCCCTTTGGTGTTGGCTCAGCAGGAAGTGGCTTTGAAGGAAAGGTGGGACCAAGGATGCCTTTCGTAAGGTCTTCTCATTCTGCAGATTTACATCCCAAAGGATTGGCTGGTTAGCTCAAAACCAATGGCAGCAACCCCGCTCCTTAACATCCAAGCAAGAAAAAGCTATGGATGGAGTATTTGGGGTATTTGCCAGACTTTTATTGTTCTAATGGAAAGTCAACATGGCCTCAATGAGCCAAAGCAAACTGAAGACTTCAAGAAGGACTTGTCAGTATGTATTCTTTGCTGCAGCATATATTGCTTTCTTCTAGAGTTGAGAGTGATTTGCCCAAGGTTGGCTATTGTATTCCATGTGTGTTTTTGTGCTTCCAAAGTTACCTGTTGACTTATGGGGAACCCATACATTTCAGAAGGTTGCTGTGAATTATTTTGGGCTGTATGGCCATGTTCCAGCAGCATTCTCTCTGGCCATGAAATCATAATAATTTAATAATTTAATAATTTAATAATTTAATAATTTGATAATTTGATAATTTGATAATTTGATAATTTGATAATTTAATAATTTAATAATTTAATAATCCAATCAAATGGGCCCCCCGGTGGCGCAGTGGGTTAAAGCACTGAGCTGCTGAGCTTGTTGACCAAAAAAAAGGTCGCAGGTTCGATTCCAGGGAGTGGCGTGAGCTTCCGCTGTCAGCCCTAGCTTCTGCCAACCTAGCAGTCCGAAAACATGCAAATGTGAGTAGATCAATATGTACTGCTCTGGTGGGAAGGTAACGGCACTCCATGCGGTCATGCTGGCCACATGACCTTGGAGGTGTCTATGGACAACGCTGGCTCTTCGGCTTAGAAATGGAGATGAGCACCACACCCCAGAGTCAGACATGACTGGACTTAATGTCAGGGGACAACCTTTAGCTAATCAAATATTCAAATATTCAAATACTCAAATAAATAATCAAAGCCAACTTAAAAAACTCTGGCATAGACACTGAGAACTGGGAAGCCCTGGCCCTTGAGCGCTCCAGCTGGAGGTCAGCTGTGACCAGCAGTGCTGCAGAATTCGAGGAGGCACAAGTAGAGGGTGAAAGAGAGAAACGTGCCAAGAGGAAGGCGCATCAAGCCAACCCCGACCAGGACCGCCTTCCACCTGGAAACCAATGCCTTCACTGTGGGAGAAGATGCGGGTCAAGAATAGGGCTCCACAGCCACCTACGAATCCACAAGGAAACCCATCATGGAAGACCATCTTACTTGTCCAACGAGGGATCGCCTAATTCAATACAATATAATTTAATAATTTGATAATTTGATAATTTAATAATTTAATAATTTAATAATTTAATAATTTAATAATTTAATAATTTAATAATTTAATAATTTAATAATTTAATAATTTAATTTAATAATAATTTAATAATAATTTAATTTAATAATTTAATTTAAGGATTTAAAGATCGAATTGTCAAGGTGGTCCCAGTGGTGATCGGCACACTGGGTGCGTTGCCTAAAGACCTTGGCCTGCACTTAAACACAATCGGCGCTGACAAAATCACCATCTGCCAGCTGCAGAAAGCCACCTTACTGCATCTGCACACATTATTCGCCGATAGATCACACAGTCCTAGACACTTGGGAAGTGTCCGATGTGTGATCCAATACAACAGCCAACAGAGTGATCTTGTCTGCTGTGGACTCAACTTGTTGTGTTTCAAATAATAATAACAATAATAATACTTTATTTATATTTCGGCCGTCTCCAGAGGGGACTCAGAGCAGATGACAGTATATAAGCAGACACAGGCAAACATTCAGTGCACTATTATAATGACATATAATGAGACAATGGCAAAGGCTTCCCCTTTCATTTCCGGCTCTGGAGGTGGTGCTCATCTCCCACTCTGTGGGAGGTGCTCTTTCTACATTTCCAAGCTGAGGAGCCTGCATCTGTAGACGTCTCCTGGTCGTGTGGCCTGCATGACTGCTTGGAGTGGCTTTTAACCATTATTATTATTATTATTATTATTATTATTATTATTATTATTAAGGAGCCCCCGGTAGTGCAGTGGGTTAAACCCTTGTGCTGCCAGGACTGAAGACAGACAGGTCGCAGGTTCGAATCCGGGGAGAGTGCAGATGAGCTCCCTCTATCAGCTTCAGCTCCCCATGCGGGAACATGAGCCTCCCACAAGGATGGTAAAACATCAAAAACACCTGGGCAACGTCCTTGCAGATGGCCAATTCTCTCACACCAGAAACGTCTTGCAGTATCTCAAGTTGCTCCTGACACAACAAAAATATACTATTATTATTTGGATGGTAAAACATCAAAAACATCTGGGCGTCCCCTGGGCAACGTCCTTGCAGACAGCCAATTCTCTCACACCAGTAGCGACTTGCAGTTTCTCAAATCACTCCTGACACAAGAAAAATATATTATTATTATTTGGATGGTAAAACATCAAAAACATCAGGGCGTCCCCTGGGCAACGTCCTTGCAGACGACCAATTTTCTCACACCAGAAGCAACTTGCAGTTTCTCAAGTTGCTCCTGACACAACAATATATATATATATATATATTATTATTTGGATGGTAAAACATCAAAAACATCTGGGCGTCCCCTGGGCAACGTCCTTGCAGACGGCCAATTCTCTCACACCAGAAGCAACTTGCAGTTTCTCAAGTTGCTCCTGACACAACAAAATATATATATTTTTATTATTATTTGGATGGTAAAACATCAAAAACATCTGGGCGTCCCCTGGGCAATGTCCTTGCAGATGGGCAATTCTCTCACACCAGAAGCGACTTGCAGTTTCTCAAATCACTCCTGACACAAGAAAAATATATTATTATTATTTTGATGGTAAAACATCAAAAACATCAGGGCGTCCCCTGGGCAACATCCTTGCAGACGGCCAATTTTCTCACACCAGAAGCAACTTGCAGTTTCTCAAGTTGCTCCTGACACAACAATATATATATATATTTATTATTATTTGGATGGTAAAACATCAAAAACATCTGGGCGTCCCCTGGGCAATGTCCTTGCAGACGGCCAATTCTCTCATACCAGAAGCAACTTGCAGTTTCTCAAGTTGCTCCTGACACAACAAAAAATATATATATTTATTATTATTTGGATGGTAAAACATCAAAAACATCTGGGTGTCCCCTGGGCAATGTCCTTGCAGACAGGCAATTCTCTCACACCAGAAGCGACTTGCAGTTTCTCAAGTTGCTCCTGACACAACAAAAAATGTTGTTGTTGTTGTTGTTGTTGTTATTATTATTATCATCAGTATTATCCTTAATAGCTGAACCCTATCCTCAAAATAGGTTCAGGATGATGATGATGATGATGATAACAACAACAACGATAATAAACCACTTTGTTTATATTCCGCCCTTCTCCCTGTGAGGACTCAGAGTGGATTACAGTATAAACACATGCCAACAAACATTCAATACCTTGTTACAATACGAGATACACAAACAAAGGCAAAGGCTTCTCCTTTCATTTCTGGCTTTGGAGGTGATGCTAATCTCTGGCTCTGGGGGAGTTGTTGTTCTCCATTTCCGAGCTGAGGAGCCTGCGTTGTCACCTCCTGGTCATGTGAACGGCATGACTGCTTGGAGCATCTTATGCCTTTCCCGCCAAAGCGGTACCTATTTAGCTACTCACATTTGCATGTCTTTGAACTGCTAGGTTGGCAGGAGCTAGGGCTGACCCTGTCCCATGGATTAAAACTGCCAGCCTTCAGGTCAGCAGTTCAGGATCTTGGATGGCACCTTTAAAGTCTGAAATAAAACCCAGAGTGGATTCACTACACTCCTGATATGGAAGCCACTGGCTGTCCTTGGACAGTTGTATCCATCTTTTGCATTAATTAAAGATAGAACATCCTTGAATGCTTTGTAACCCTATTGGGATCTGTAGCGAGACCATCTAGTCTTGAAAGGACACTCTTGAAAGTAGCTAACTCTCTCTAAATCTAACCACCAAGGACATGAATCCAAAGAAGGCGGCTCTAGCAGTCCTACTCTTCCAATTAACCTCCTGAAAGTTTCTAGCTGTGTGGTGTCTTTTGCATATCGTGCTAACTAATAGATGATGGTGCCAGGAGATTGTCTCTTTGGGGCCACTCTACCCAAGCCTAGTCCATTCCCTTTGGGTGCAAAATGAGAAGAGTCCTTCAAAAGCCGCAAAGCCAAGGGACAAAAGGAATGGGAGTTTCTGCCTTCAGATGAGAACAAATCAACTTAATTAGCAATTACCAGTCATTTCCAGCCAGAGGAGGCATTAAACCCAAGCGGAGTCTGAAACCCCCTTTTAGTCTTTAGTGACAGCACCGAAAGGGAGCTTCTGGACAGTGTTTGCTGGAGATGGTGAGGGAGAACATTATGGTTTTAAGAACATATAGATATTTTGCTTGGGAGGAAAATGCTGCTCTGAGCCCCAAAGACCCCTTTTCCAGCAGTCACGGAAAATAGTAATTCTTGGAGTGCCTAAAAGTCATATTTATTGAGTCTGCGACTGGTTAAAGTCAACATCATTCAATGAGTTTTAGTCCTTAGTTTACTCTCTCCATTGCGTTTACATACACTTGCCTTTGGGTGCACAACTTGCCGTTATCCTTACCCAATTTGTTTCTTTCTTGGGCACTTTGGTTGTGGAGTATGCCTTCTGTTTCTTAAGGTGCTGCCTCTCTCTCCATTGAAACTGACTTCGCAAAGCACTTCCTGCCTGCCTTCATTGTTTCCTCCTCCTCCTCCTCTTTCCTTTTGCCTTATTCTTGGTCTTGGGAGGGTGCGTGTTATTCAGAGCTTGGAACTAACATGTTGAAAGCCACTGGAACATGTTACTTTGGGGAGCAATGAATCATGTCCTGGTGCCTGAATGCGTTTTTGAATGTCCACCATTTGTTTAACAAAATGTTAACTTTTAAGGTTCATTTTGGTAGGGTTTGAAGACCCTTTGCCTGTTTGCTCAGGTTGGAAAATAAAATCCAAACAATAATTGAAAATAGCATATTGTTGTATATACCAGGTATGGGCAAACTTGGGGGCCACATGCTAGCACTCCCTGCTGGGAGGACTGGCTATGCAGTGATGGAAGGAAGGAAGGAAGGAGGAAGGAAAGAGACAAGAAAGGATGAAAGGGAGGGAGGTGAAAACGGGAGGGGGAGAGGGAAGAAGGAAGGAAAGTGGGAAGGACTGAAAGACAAAAGAGAAGGAAGAAAGGGTGGAAGGGTGGAAGGAAGGAAGGAAGGAAGGAAGGAAGGAGAAGGAAGGATGAACGAAAAGGAGGAAGGGAAGGATGGAAGGAGAAAGAGGGAGAGAAGGAAGGAGGGAGGAAAGAGGGAAGGACTGAAAGACAAAAGGGAAGGAAGAAAGGATGAAAGGGTGGAAGGGAAGAATGGATAGAAGGAAGGGTGAAAGGGAGGAAGGGAAGGATGGAAGGAGAAAGAGAGAGGGAAGGAGAGAGGAAAGAGGGAAGGAAGGCCAAAAGGGAAGGAAGAAAGGATGAAAGAGTGGAAGGGAAGGGAGGGAAGGAAGGGAAGGGAGGGAGGAAGGAAGGAAAGAAGGAAAGGGAAGGAAGAACAAACAAAAATGCGGAAGGGAAGGATGGAAGGAGAAAGAGGGAAGGACTGAAAGACAAAAGGGAAGGAAGAAAGAATGAAAGGGTGGAAGAATGGATAGAAGGAAGGAAAGAGAAGTAAGAATGAATGCAAAGGGAGACGGGAAGGATGGAAGGAGAAAGAGGGAGAGAGAAGAGGAGGGAGGAAAGAGGGAAGGAAGGAAAGACAAAAGGGAAGGAAGGATGAAATATTGGAAGGGAAGGAGGAAGTAGAGAAGGAAGAGCGAAAGGGAGGAAGGGAAGGATGGAAGGAGAAAGAGGGAGAGAGGGAAGGACGGAGGAAAGAGGGAAGGACTGAAAGACAAAAGGGAAGGAAGAAAGGATGAAAGGGTAGAAGGAAGGAAGGAAAAGAGGAAGGAAAGAGAGAAGGAAGGAAGGATAGGATGGTGAGAGAGAGGATGGCCTGAGAAAAGAGTCCAAGGGGCCACACCCAGCTCCTGGGCCAGAGGTTGCCCATACCTGATACATACTCATGTATAAGTCTACCTCATGTATAAGTCGCGGGCAGGTTTTTGAGCCCAAAGTTATTAATTTTGGTATGACCCATGAGTCATCCCACAGAAAGGGGAATGGTCAGTACTATGTCCGGGAGGCAGCCACTCATGGCCAACCAGGCTTTCAAAAAGCCAGAAGCAATGCCACAGCTGAGAAGGCTGGTGCTTCTTTGAGGTTCTCCTGGTATGGACTAAGCTCTTGTCTTTCATCACATTACTCAAATGGCCTTTCCTTTGGTTAGAGTTAAGGTTGCATTGAGCCATGGATACATTGACCAAGGTTTATTTGGGTCAACTTGTTGACTAAATTTTCTATAGACTTATACACGAGTATATATGATAGTGCATGAATGTATTACATGTCAAGTCACGCATTGTGTTCAAAATACTAAAAGGAATAGGTTCATATCCCTACAGATTTTTCCAAGCTCTGGAAAGGGTGAATGCGCGCATGTGGGTACCTGTGTGTGTGTGTGTGTGTATTGCTTGCCGCTCTCTGTTATTCAGCCACTGAACTCTTTCGTTTCCAGGTTCTTCGGGTTCTTTTAACCTCCCTAATTCTGGGGACATGTTCATGAACATGCAGAGTCTGAATGGGGATTCTTACCAGGGGGCCCAAGTCGGAGCCAATGTGCAATCACAGGTAGGAGAAAATCGCCCCTCCCAAATAGGGTAGCAGGGTTTGGGCTTCATTTACTTGCACAAAAAGGAAGGCAAACTCGAAACGATCCATCCAACTACAAATTCCACCTTTTTATTTTCCTTTTTTTGGCCTCTGACTACTTGAAAAATATCTTCTGCGCCTTTTGGGCAGAATTGGGCAAAAGGAAAAAAAGTAAACCAAAGGTACCAATGGCATTTGGTACCTTTGACGTCGTCGTAGAGTCTCACCCATGTAAACAATGGGGTTCTTGCTCTTTTTTTCCGTACCTGCCCTTCCTCCCTCGATTGGAAACGTTTCAAGCTTTGTGAATGCAAGTTCGGCTCTGGCTTGAGCTCACAGCACGGGGTTTGGAGGGGGGTGGGTTGTGTTCTTCTGCTGTCAACTCTGAAATCTTGGTTTTAATTTCTTTTCTTTTCTCCGCTTCCTTTCTGGGATCACCTTTGGTTAACTAGTTGAAGTGCAAAATCCTGATCTAGCTGAGCTGTCTGGCTTGGTTTTTTGTTTGCCTTTTGTTCTCTGTCACCATTGCAGTCGCCTTTTAAAACAAAAGATCAATGGGGCTGCCTTGGATTTCCAGGGCTGCGTGTCTATTGCACATTCACGCGCCCCATAGGCCTCAGCAATCTAAACACTTTGGCTAGGAGATCATAGACACTTCCCTTTTAAAACAAATATAAAGCAGGAAAGGAAGAATCTAGTCTTTCTGGTTGTGACAATACCAAAGCAGAAACTGGTGAAAGCGTGAGATCCAGGAAAAGTGGGTTACACTATTTGGAGGAGTTGACTTCAGTAGAGCACCACCACTGCACACATGTACATTCAGGTTTTCTTTGATACCTGTCCTTATTGTAATTGACCACATATGAGTAGGTTTCCTTGTCTGTCTTTTTTTTAATGGTGAGATTCTTCTTGTTTCTGTGTCTTCTCCTTGTAGGTGGATACCCTGCGTCATGTTATCAATCAGACGGGAGGCTACAGTGATGGTTTGGGAGGAAATTCGCTGTACAGTCCACATAATTTAAATGTGAGTACCGCTGGTGCAGGGTATTGCAAAACAGGAGTGGGATTGGTTAAAGTTATTAGGACATGGTTGAAGCCTGTAGTGCAGTGATACCTGTTAGAGACAACTACCCTAAAATAAAGCAGAGCATCCAAAAACCAAACAGGATACTTGAGACAACTACCCTAAAATAAAGCAGACCATCCAAAAACCAAACAGGATACTTGAGACAACTAACCTACAATAAAGCAGACCATCCAAAAACCAAACAGGATACTTGAGACAACTAACCTACAATAAAGCAGACCATCCAAAAACCAAACAGGATACTTGAGACAACTACCCTAAAATAAAGCTTAGAGCATCCAAAAACCAGAAAGGATACTTGAGACAACTATCCTAAAATAAAGCAGAGTATCAAGAAACCAAACAGGATACTTGAGACAACTACCCTAAAATAAAGCAGAGCATCCAAAAACCAAACAGGATACTTTATTATTATTTAGTATTTACTTTATTTATATACCGCTTTTCTCAGCCCTCAAGCGACTCAAAGCGGTGAACAACATCAATAACGAGACAAGTATAGGGCAATTAAAAACAATTGTAACATAAATCATTAAACATACTTGAGACAACTGCTCTAAAATAAAGCAGAGCATCCAAAAACCAAACAGGATACTTGAGACAACTATCCTAAAATAAAGCAGAGCATCCAAAAACCAAACAGGATACTTGAGACAACTATCCTAAAATAAAGCAGAGCATCCAAAAACCAAACAGGATACTTGAGACAACTACCCCAAAATAAAGCAGAGCATCCAAAAACCAAACAGGATACTTGAGACAACTACCCTAAAATAAAACAGAGCATTCAAAAACCAAACAGGATACTCGAGACAACTACCCTAAAATAAAACAGAGCATCCAAAAACCAAACAAGATACTTGAGACAACGACCCTAAAATAAAGCAGAGCATCCAAAAACCAAACAGGATACTTAAAGCTGAGCAATAGCTCACAGCTAGCAAAGCATGAAGTTCCGTGTGATGTGGCTGTAAAGAATTCAAAGCTTAGGCAGGCAAAGATGCAGAGTCCAATCCTTAAACAATCACAAAAGGTTTATTTACAATATAATAAACAATAACTGCATTTCTTAATAGTAAAATAACTAGGTCTGAGTTACTCTAACACCCATCTCTTCTAAGGTTTCAAGAAGGGGAAAAAACACCCATCCCTACATCTCTCCTGACACATAAGTAGAGAGAGATCTCAAAGCACACAGCAGGCACTAAGATGTAAGGAACAGAAGTCAAAATAAAGGCTTGCAGTAGAAAAGTATCCATTCTACACAACCAATCAAAATGAGAGCAGAAACAGAGACGAGAGAAGAAATTAGAGACATTCCCAACTGTCATACAGGATACATGGGGGAAGCACTTCATGCTTTGCTGGCTGTGAGCTGTTCCTCAACTTTAAGTATCCTGTTTGGTTTTTTGAATGCTCTGCTTTATTTTAGGGCAGTTGTCTCTAACAGGAATCACTGCGTTACAGGCTTCAACCATATACTAAACAACTAAGCTGTTCCTCTTTGAGGACTTGAGACTTGGGCAGTGTGGTGTTAGAATTCACAACAATTCCCAACCTGTTTTTGACCAGGGACCACTCTGACCAGGGACCACTCTCCAACATGAGTACCAAAAGAGTTACGAATCAGTTTTTGGTCAACATTAGATTCAGATTGTTTATTTGGGGTGCTGATTTGGAAAATTGCATTGGATAGACCACATCAGCTCAAGTTTCTGATGCAGAACATATCCCATCCAGTAGTCGCTATCTGCTCACTCATAGAAAACCAGTCTTTAAATACCGGTCGCCAGATTGTGTTCATTTTCATTGTTTCCTCCTTTCTGTTGACATTGTCCACATGCTTGTGGATTTCAGTGGCTTCTCTATCTAGTCTGACATGGTAGTTGTTTGAGTGGTTCAGCATTCCTGTGTTCTCAAATAATATGCTGTGTCCAGGTTGGTTCATCAAGTGCTCCGCTATGACTTCTCGGGTTGAATTAGTCTGCAGTGCCTTTCATGTTCCTTGATTCATGTCTGGGCAATTCTGTTGTGTTTGGTGGTCCCTATGGAGACTTGTCCACATCCGCATGGTGTATGGTAGACTCCTGCAGAGGTGAGAGGATCCCTCTTGTCCTTTGCTGAACGTAGCATTGGTTGGATTTTCTTATTCGGTCTGTAAATCATTTGTAGGTTGTGTTTCTTCATCAACTTCCCTGGGGGACACGGAAAGAGCCTCCTCGAAGACTGAGTAAATACAGTCGGGTGTCCCCCGGGCAACGTTGCTGCTAAATGTGAGAGAAATAAGGTTGGAACACCGTGAAAGCCACCCACCTTTCAGAGGGGTCGCCAAAGACTCATCAGAAAGGTAGATGGTGAACTACATCTCCCCTAAATCACTGTCAATTCATCCCAAATCCCTCCAATATGTTCTGTTGGTCACGGGGATTCTGTGTTGGAAGTTTGGCCCAATTCTATTGTTGGTGGGGTTCAAGGAACTATAGGTAAACTACAGAACCCAGCAACTACAACTCCCAAATGCAAAGCTCTATTTTCCCCAAACTCCACCAGTGTTCACATTTGGGCATATTGAATATTCGTGCCAAGTTTGGTCCAGATCTATCATTGTTTTAGTCCACAATACTCTCTAGATGTAGGTGAACTACAACTCCAAAACTCAAGGGCAATGCCCACCAAACCCTTCCAGTATTTTCCGTTGGGCATGGGAGTTCTATGTGGCAAGATTGGTTCAATTCCATCGCTGGTGGAGTTCAGAATGTTCTTTGATTGTAGGTGAACTATAAATCCCAGCAACTGCAACTCCCAAATGACAAAATAACCCCCTCCCCCAACCCCACTAGTATTCAAATTTGGGCATATGGGATATTTGTGCCAAATTTGGTCCATTAAATGAAAATACATCCTGCAGATCATTATTTACATGGTGATTCATAATGTTAGGGTTATGGTTGGGGGTCACCACAACATGAGGGGTCACGGCATTAGGAAGATTGAGAACAACTGGTCTAGACGATTTTTCAGAGAACAGTACTGGCAAAACCACTTCTTAGGATTCCTGATCTAAGACAACCCTATGAAATGTATAGGATCACCATAAGTCAATGAGCATCTTGAAGGTACCCTCAAGGTCCTCAAGTACCCTCAAGGCACCAGATCTTGGAAGCTCAACAGGGTCAACCCTGGTTAGTATTTTTATGCAAGATTGCCCATGACTCTCAGGTACTGTAAGCTCAAGTTTGGAGGAAAAACCACCTCAGAGTGTTCCTTGCCTAAGAAAGATCTATGAAATTCATACTTTCACTGTAAGTCAACAGGCAACTTGAATGCACACTCACGTATACACACACACCTAAATCACACCGACTCCCAGTTACACATCTCTACTCCTTGCTTTTTTTAAAAAAAGGTCCCTTGAAAGCAAGCGAGAGAGAATCAAAGGGCCTGCTCGGTCGGTATTAATAAAATACCTGGGCACGATTCCAGCGGGCCGGTTTCTCTCGCCCCGGGGTCAGCCTGACCTTCACATTTGCGGTAATGAATCCAACCTTGCCGTTTCCTGGAAAGCCTTCATGTTCTGCCGCAAAGTTATTTGTCCTTGTTATTGATAAAAAAGAAGAAGAAAGAAGTCAGTGTGGATCAAGCGGAGAGCCGGGACATACGGGTGGCACCGCCGGGCCATGATTATTAATCATTTTGTGTAGCAATTGTAATCTGGCACAAGATGAAAAGGGCTGTTCAGTCACTCCCTATTAATGCCATTTTACAGTTCAGGCACCCGCTTACTGAATGCCACTCGCCAGCAAACCAATATGGGAATAAATACCCTTCGGCAAGTGGCCGACCACCATGAAAACCCCAGACGGGACCCTGAGTCCATTTGGATCCACTTTCAGGTCTCATATTTTTATGGCTTCCCCTTGAAGGAGCTGCTGTTAGTATCATTTCTTTAGCTTGGTGATTCCCAAACTCTCATCCTCCAGGAGTTTTGGACTGTAGCTCTCAGAATCTCTTGACCATTGACCAAAGTGTGAAGAATAAGCCTCAAACCTGGAACACAATTTGAAAACTTGATTTTGAAGACTTCCTTGACTAGGGATCCTTGTGTCATCGGGAAAGATACTTAGCAAAGAGCAAACTTAGCACCCCCAGACAACTGTTCCCATCAGGGAGAGATTATGACTTTGTGCAAGCCATAATCTCTCAGCCTCAGAGAAAGGCAAAGACAAACTAACACTCAATGCATCTGGCCAAGAAAACCACAGATAGCATCACCATAATTTGGAAACGGGTTGAAGGCACATAACAGCAGTGGTGGAATTTGGGTGGTGCAAAAATGTTGATGTGATTCCAAGAAACTCTATATGTCTAAGCACGCATCCACACAAGGTGGAAAATGCGTGCCTTCCTGCATTTTTCCTGAGGTGTCCAAACAATGCCTCAGGTAAAAAAAATATTCCTTTGGTACAAAGCAGGAAAGTCCTGCTTTGTGCCCAAGTAATTTGACAGTTGGAAAGACCTGGGTCTTTCAGAAGACCCGGGTCTTTCCAGCTGTTGGCACAGTCTGGATTAGGCCCAAGGATCATGCCATGTGACTTCTGGTCTCAATTCACATAGCAGTGGTGGAATTTGGGTGGGACAAAAATGTTGATGTGTTTCCAAGAAACTATATGTCTAAGGGTGCATCCACACAGGGTGGAAAATGCGTGCCCTCCAGCATTTTTTCCTGGGGTGTTCAAATGATTCCTCAGGTTAAAATGAATTCCTTTGGCACAAAAAACAGGAAAACCCTGCATCATGCCCAAGTAATTTGACGGCTGGAAAGACCCGGGTCTTTCAGAAGATCCGGGTCTTTCCAGCTGTTGGCACAGTCTGGATTAGGCGCAAGGATCATGCCACGTGACTTCTGGTCTCAATCCACACAGCAGTAGTGGAATTTG